TCACATCAGTCACTGCAGCCGAGTTTTGCGGCGCTGTCATCCCGCGCGATCTTCATGTTCTGGTGAATTCGGCTGTCTTTCATTCGACAAGCACTCGCCTTGAACAGTTTGTTTTCTACCTTGTCATGTGAAAAAACTCACGTGTTTTTATGAGCCATAATTCGGCTGAAGTTCACTGATCATTTCACTTCAAGATTCTGTATTAGAGACTTAAAAACTTCAAGCAAAAGTGAGTGTTAAATTAAACTCAAGAAGTGGGAAGAAACACTCGACTACGTCTCGTGTTTCTCCCTACACTTCTTTCGTGCTCTAGCCGCTTCCTGCGTGCTTTATAACAGAACAGAGCACAGTCAAGGCTTCTCTATTTGTTAACCGTTACTGGCACTGGTGCATAATCGTACTAGACAGAACGATGACGGAACGTCTCTGCAGAAACAAACTTCAAATGATAAAAGGCAAAGTAATTGAACAAAACTGGCTATAGCTATGTCATTTGTTTCTGAAAAAGTTCTACTGTTCGATCCGAAGTCATTTCGAAGGCAGGAATGCTCCTTAACTCTTTAATCAACATATTGCGTGATTTTATGTCTTCCGTGTGCTACTTAGTTTAGAGCTTCCTGCGTCGCGAGTAAACATTTGCCCAAAGAAAAACTTTTTTACGTCATTTTGAAGATCATTCCTTCAGAAAGTTACATACGTAATTTTTTGGAATTATGGCACATGGTGAACAAAGAGGTTTTCTTCACCGACATTTTTTTGTAACGGAAGAGAGCACATTGCTTTTTCGCATGGCCAAAAGCTTCTAAGCAACCAATTCCTTCATAACTTACATTTTACAGAATACAAAGAGTCTATGAAAGAACTCACGTTGGTTAGATTTCCCTAGACGTAATATCTTTGAAATGCAAAGCGAGCGAAAGTTTTCAATTTTCGACCTGTTATGACCCGATTCATCGATTCCAGAGGATGAAAGCGAAAAGTTCGTTTTTCTCGAAAATTAAAATACATTTGAGGAAAAAAATACACAGCCTTTATTGTCTTACTAGGGTCTACTTGTGTGCAAAAATTGAGACAATTTGAATTTTTGACCCTTGCCATAAAAATGTCGTTTTTGTTTGATTTTTGCACGGATGTCCTCTTAACTATCGCTGGTGACCAGTTCCGCATTTTTCTGGCATCTATTTTGTTTGCATATGCGAGCACATCTGTATGACTGGTTACAATGAGTTGTTCTTAGGAAAAAGTATTAAAATAGCTATAAATTTTTACACAAAAGCAACATCAAGAAATTGCGTGGTAATTGACCACTCCTTTTGCCAGGCTGCAAGAGTTGTTAGTGAAAAACATCCTTTTCGTGTTACACCACACATATTTGTAATGGACTAAGAGAGATCCTATCACATCCTTGAAGCATTAAAATTGTTAAGATTGAGGTGACAGGATTCAAATCCTATATCCCCACTCGCACATGTTCCGAAACACAGTTTTAAATGTTAATAGAAATCCCATTTAGATTATTACAAATCCCACTGTTTGAAAAAGAAAATGGTGGTATGGATGCAAATTGCGTTACGTTAATCTAATTTACTGCGACCATATCATCACCCAATCCGAAGTAATACATCAATCCCAAAACATTTTTAAAAAGTTTACCTTTATTATCAACTCACAGTTTTATAATTAACCAGAAATCCGATTTCAATCGTTACACGAAGGCGCGCCATAAAAAAAAGGAGAGGTGCCTTAGGTCCTCTGTATCATTTGTCAATCAACCGTCGTGGCATACACTCCAAAACAGCTTGAGCTGCAGCCAATGCAAGGCACTGACCAGAGGCGCATTTCTCGGTAAATTTCTACGTTTTCATCACAATGGAAGAATTTTTTTGGGTTTGTAGTACCTTCTTCCGATCGAAACCTTCTTCATTTGTGGCGGTAAATTTGAAATTCGAAATGATTCGCTTCGCCATCGCCTAAAATTGCCATGGCGTAATTTCATGTCTGTTCTTAAATACTGGATGTAGATGACCGTTAGAATAAAAAGAAAAGATGAAGAAATGTTCAAGGCATTTCTTCAATAATGCCAAGGGGAAGTGCTGTTAACCCAACGGAAGAAAAATAAAAGCAGAGCGACCATTGCAGGCGAAGTTCTGGAGCGCGCGAGTGAACCGCCGCCAACCACCGATTCACTTGGACATGTCCAGGCATCGATGTCGCCAAATGAATCATCTGTACGGGCTTCCTCCACAAATGGTGCGATTTATTTTTCTTTTTTTTAATCTAAGTATAATATGATTACAACAATACTGAATGATCTTTAACCTTTGGAACAATACATTAGAAAGGTAACTTAGGACTACAGTTCGATACCAACAATCACTGTGATAATGTATCACCAAGATCGAAACACTCGCGTAACGCAATAATTTTCTAGAGGTAACTAATTGCAGATTTTTTTCTAACTAGGAAATACTAGTTAGAATATACTTGCAAACCACAGATTTTTTTCGTATGATGCGACAGTTCATGTCTAACACTGCTTCCTTTTTGATGCCTTCATTTTCCGAAATGCAGCCTTGCGTGACACCTACGAAACGTTTTGTCCTGCCTAAGAATGTTTTGTCCTGCCTTAGAATGTTTTTGTCCCGCCTAAGAATGTTTTGTCCTGCCTAAGAATGTTTTGTCCTGCCTAAGAATGTTTTGTCCCGCCTTAGAATGTTTTGTCCCGCCTAAGAATGTTTTGTCCCGCCTAAGAATGTTTTGTCCCGCCTAAGACTGTTTTGTCCCGCCTTAGAATGTTTTGTCCCGCATAAGAATGTTTTGTCCCGCCTAAGAATGTTTTGTCCCGCCTAAGAATGTTTTGTCCCGCCTAAGAATGTTTTGTCCCGCCTAAGAATGTTTTGTCCCGCCTAAGAATGTTTTGTCCCGCCTAAGAATGTTTTGTCCCGCCTAAGAATGTTTTGTCCCGCCTAAGAATGTTTTGTCCCGCCTAAGAATGTTTTGTCCCGCCTAAGAATGTTTTGTCCCGCCTAAGAATGTTTTGTCCCGCCTAAGAATGTTTTGTCCCGCCTAAGAATGTTTTGTCCCGCCTAAGAATGTTTTGTCCCGCCTAAGAATGTTTTGTCCCGCCTTTTGTCCCGCCTAAGAATGTTTTGTCCCGCCTAAGAATGTTTTTTGTCCCGCCTAAGAATGTTTTGTCCCGCCTAAGAATGTTTTGTCCCGCCTAAGAATGTTTTGTCCCGCCTAAGAATGTTTTGTCCCGCCTAAGAATGTTTTGTCCCGCCTAAGAATGTTTTGTCCCGCCTAAGAATGTTTTGTCCCGCCTAAGAATGTTTTGTCCCGCCTAAGAATGTTTTGTCCCGCCTAAGAATGTTTTGTCCCGCCTAAGAATGTTTTGTCCCGCCTAAGAATGTTTTGTCCCGCCTAAGAATGTTTTGTCCCGCCTAAGAATGTTTTGTCCCGCCTAAGAATGTTTTGTCCCGCCTAAGAATGTTTTGTCCCGCCTAAGAATGTTTTGTCCTGCCTAAGAATGTTTTGTCCTGCATAAGAATGTTTTGTCCCGCCTACGAATGTTTTGTCCTGCCTAAGAATGTTTTGTCCTGCCTAAGAATGTTTTGTCCTGCCTAAGAATGTTTTGTCCTGCATAAGAATGTTTTGTCCTGCCTAAGAATGTTTTGTCCTGCATAAGAATGTTTTGTCCCGCCTAAGAATGTTTTGTCCTGCATAAGAATGTTTTGTCCTGCCTAAGAATGTTTTGTCCTGCCTAAGAATGTTTTGTCCTCCATAAGAATGTTTTGTCCCGCCTAAGAATGTTTTGTCCTGCCTAAGAATGTTTTGTTCTGCATAAGAATGTTTTGTCCTGCCTAAGAATGTTTTGTCCTGCATAAGAATGTTTTGTCCTGCATAAGAATGTTTTGTCCTGCCTAAGAATGTTTTGTCCTGCCTAAGAATGTTTTGTCCTGCCTAAGAATGTTTTGTCCTGCCTAAGAATGTTTTGTCCTGCATAAGAATGTTTTGTCCTGTCTAAGAATGTTTTGTCCTGCATAAGAATGTTTTGTCCTGCCTAAGAATGTTTTGTCCTGCATAAGAATGTTTTGTCCTGTCTAAGAATGTTTTGTCCTGCCTAAGAATATTTTGAAAGGAGTTATTTCTTTAGAACGACAAGTTATATTTATTGCGATATTTTATGCTACACCATGGGCATACGTGTCAATTAAACATGAAAAATGTACATAAAAATTGTCCAAAATAAAATGTAGGCGGGAAGACTAGTTGTACGATCATATCAGACTTCATGACCGTTCAGTTGCGCTTTCGCTCTAACAGTTATTTCACTTTGTCTCCACAATAGCTGATGCAAGAGGGGACGAGTTCGAAATGTGTATTTACTGTTAGCAAACGCCATGTGTAACGACCGACAGTCGCGAATACCTTGGCTATCGCGAAGCACATATTCAAAATCACGTGCGACGTAGAAAAGATTAGAAGACGTACTGGAGAGTATTGAACAAATGTGGGCTCTGGAAAGACCCTGTTTACAAGGCTAGAAAAGGCGAACTGGGAGACCACGTTAATGCAGTGCGGGATAGGATGCCCAATTGTGTTATAAAAGATGTGAGGTCAAGGTTTCCTAACCTCCTGGTATTGCCTATATGGGGCATAAAAGGGAATAAAATTCTCATACAAATGCCCACCTCAAAGAGAGAGCCCAAGTACCCATTTTTTTAATGGTCCATTTTACAATGTCCACACAGCAAATTATAGTGACTTTCCTATAGGTTAGGAAAAGATATACAGTGCAAAGAAAAGTAACAGGAGGAAACAGAGAATGAGTCTGCTTGGAAATACCTTGTGTCAAACCTAATATTCATGTTTTCATTGCTTGGTACCAGCAGTTGTTAGAATTGGTCCTCCCTAATGACCTCACATATTAATACTGAACATTTGGGCTCCTAGTTGTAATTATCACAGAAACTGTGGTGCAATGGAAAACAGAAGAGACATCATTTGTTTATATTAAAAAAGGTAGACCAGATAGTTTCTCTGAAATTAAATGTCTTTGAAGTAAGCACCCTGGTCTCTGCCAAGCGGTTTGGATGCCTGGTATGTTGGTACATCTGTAGAGACGATGCTTCTCGATTCACATTTTCATTCTGTAAGACAAATGAGTCAATGAGCAAGAGAAGGCAGTGAATCCAAAAAGTGCCAAAGTAATTGAGCAGAATTAACAACATAAGTTTCTTACCCAATCAAGAATGGCTAACTCCATGCACATGTTTTATGTGTCATCCCCATAATGAATCCGCTTTGCAGCATAAATGAGCATCACTGAATGGAGAGACTCAATCCAATATGTTTCCCTGCACTGAAGAAGGCAACAAATTATGGGTGATTTTTCTTTAACTGGAAAATGAATTTGTTCAACTCATTTATGGCCCTTACCTCAACATCATTAATTTGGAAGAAGAGATAAACTTCTTCATGCAAAGAAACATAAACATACAGCATGCGTCAATTAATTACCCGCATGTAGTCCGATGCATGCCTATAAATTGAAGTGCCCATAATGACTTCCCCTGCATGCGGCTACTACTTCAGGTTTAGTTAAAAGTTTTTGCTCATCACATAGCCATTCTGCTTGCACTTTGACTCCGCATGGCATCTGACATGATTTCCCTGAGTAATAAATACACCAAGTTATAGAAAAATAGATTAATAAATCAGTACTAATAATTATAGTAAGTATAATGTCTCTTGTTCAACATTATTAAATGTTCAACAGTGTACCCTGAAATTCTTCTTCGTTGGGTGGACTGTTCTTCATGCAGAAGTACACAAGAGTCCTTGTACTTTTCACTGTAAAATATTCACAATTATTATATTCCATTGTATTCATCTTATATCACGAAGGAATTTGACATCTGTAGATAATTGTGGAGAGAATATAGCTTTTGATGACTCTCATAAGAGAGATATCTTACCTTTGTCGAACAATCCAAAAAAAACACTTTGAGCCCTCATCCCACTGGGTCCCTGAGGTAACTTCCTTCATTGCTTTAGTTACAGACTTTGCACCTGAAAATAAAAAAAAAAAAATATATTAATACCAATAAAATGCTAACTTTCAAGAAATAGTCATAATCATCAAGACAAAATGAGCCAAAAAAATACAAGTGTGTACTGAGTATCATGCCAAGAGTCAAAGGAATTAAGCATTCCTTTTGACAAGATCCATATTTTTAGCTGTAATACAAAGTCATATGCCACCTCTGCAACATGGAACCCTGAAAAAAGAATTACTTTAGCTGCATTATAAAAGATACTTCTGATCTCTATATTTGTATTACATATGTGATATGATATTATTGAGGATGCAAATTTATCATACCTTGTGTCTCAGAGAGATAAGTCAGCAGCTCTTTTGTCATAGGGACCTCACAGCTTACTGCTGAAGTTTCATTGGCCCTACTCCAGTTGACAACTGCTAACACCTTTTGGTCCTAAAGATAATCGGTGCAAATGAAATAATTTTAGGAATGGTGTTGAACATACCAGAGGTTCAACATATCATACAAAGAGATCAAGTAGAAACCATCTTACAAGAAAGAAAGGGCTGACACTGTTGTGTGTGCTGCTGATTGACTGGAATCATGCCTTGCATCTGTTATAACAAACTGTAGGAAGAAATGGTAGAAATCAAGACATAAAAATGGTCACATTTCTCTACTCACAGATATTTTCAAGGTTTACAATCTGATATAAGATTTTATATCTTTGTATGTGCCAGTCTACATAATATATTCCGAGTATGGCAGGTGTATGAGTATGTGGCCAAAGACAAAATGAAATTAAAATGACAATTTGTACCTCTCCATTCACAGCATATGCAGGGTTACTCTTCACTTGTTCTTGAGCAGCCAACATCAAATCATTGGAGACCCTCTTCACGACTGTCAAGTAACTGAGCTTTTTCAAGACTTTCGAAGTGATTAAAAATAGAAGTATTTTAGAATTGTATCTGGTAAGGCACAAACCAAAGAAGGAACAGCTCAGTCAGTTTGAGCTATCTTGGTAAAACATTCATGATTTAGCAACCTGCAAACTGCTGTTGACTGCCTTCTCCTTGCAAGGAGAAAGACTACATGATTTTCAGAGCATCTGAGCATGTGCATTGCTAACCTGTGTTGGAGGTCTTTTCTCCCTCTGACCCGATGTTGGCTGCTTGACAGAAACTCGTGTATTCTGTCTCTGTCAAGCCACAGGACAATACTCCATGAATCAATCTATGAAAGAGAGACAGAGAAGTGACCAGTTACAAAAAACAAAAACAGTAAAATACCGAGATAACAAATTTCAGTAAATTTCAAGCAAAAATAAGAGTGCTCACCTCAAATTTACATAGTACTTTGGAGGAGATCCTCCCATGATAGGGGAGGAGAGCCACTTGAAAGAATCTCCACCAACACATGAAATTGTCATTGACACTACATGACTCTGTCGATTGAAGGCAAGTGACTCACAACCGAGGGTTTTCCACAATAACAACATGATGTCGTTAGCGTATTAGAGAAAAAAAAAACAGAGTTCGCGGAGATTCTTCACTGCAGAGATATAAGGAGTCGTTCTCTGCTAAAGATGCAGTAATTTGCATTATTTGTGGCGTACGTTATGCTTGTGGAGGAGAAATTGTAGGATTGTAAAAGGATCAGCAAAAGGCAAAGAAATACGCGAAGATGGAGTAGAAGAAGCTGAAGGAATTGAAAACCGTGCAGTTGTGGATGGTGTATTTCGGACTTCCCGTTGATGATAAGCTCAGATCGCTCGATGTCAGTCATTTCCTCTCAATTTTCTCCTCAAAAGCTAACAGAAGAGTTTCCATCAAATCTGCATTCTGTGTGCTTGTCGTCGCTTTTGTAAGATTCAACGAGCCTTTGGCCATCTTTATGCGGTCTTTGATGCCGAGAAGTCTACCCTCCTGAGTTCGAGGAACTTCTATGTTGAACGAGAACTGTGGACCTCGATCCGTTGGATGCTATTTCTTGGGTACAGATGGCTTATTTCCCTCAGCCATAAGGAATAAATTTCCCAATAAATATATCTTTCGAGCAGCGACAGCCAAGACTATTCCCCAAACTGAACTAGAGTTGTGAAATACTATCTCAAAATTTAGAGATTTTGTCACAGAATTGTCACAGGTAACAATAGTCTGAGCATTGCGCATAGAATATGTCATGAATCCGCTAGTTTCAATGGGAATAATCTGAAGGCTCGAAGAACCAGTGTGTATTAGGGGCTTGGGACAAAAGCCGAAGTTACACGGCGCGAATTTTGAAAAGACAACTGTGCGAGTGTCTCGTCGACCGCAGATAGCGCTTTGAGCGGCCAAACGATAAGTTAGTGGCAATTAATATCAAAATGAGCTCAATTATGGGAATGAGAGTCAACAAGACGCAATATCTTCTAATTTATTGACACAAAAAAAATACTTAAAGTGTGTCTTCTATGTAGACCGTTTCACTCATGGTTGGAACGTTGGTCGCCATATTGGATGATTATTGCATTTAAGCTGAAACAAAGGGGAGGAGCCAACCTATTTGTAACGCGCCTTCGTGTTAAAATTCACCTTTCACAAAGCCTTTCCCTAACGCAAGCAATCATCAGGAAAAAAAAATCAATTCGGACTTTTTTCCATAAAATGAATGTTCAAAATTAACATTCCCACCTCCCCCCTCCCACTTAGAGAACACACTGTTTGGTCAAAAAGAGATTTTTTTTTTATTAAACTTGAATCATCTACAAACAGTATTATGTCAAAACTAAGGTTCTCTTCTTTGCGCAAGTGTAGGCTGTGTATTTTTTTAAAAAAATTAATTTCTTTGGAGCTGCCGATGTTAATTTAAAGAAAGGCACCATTCTCGCAGGCGAGCCGCAATTTTAAACCAAATCCTCTGACTCTTCCCTTCCGGCCACTTAAGCGATAAATGATGACCGGTAACTAAGGTCTCGAAGGATTTGGCCGAAATTCCAAGGGTCTCCCTCAGTAGAAGAGGAGTCTGGAAAGAAGTCAAGAGTTCATTTCTATTCCTACAGATGTACTTTGCAAACTCTGTAAGTCTTAAAACTTCATGAGATGATTAATTTGCTTTATTGTCTTTCTTAATATCGTTTACGTAGGTATTTACATGACAATCAGATAGCAGAGCTACCACGTGGAGTCTTCAGCTACAACACCAAGTTGATTGAACTGTAAGTAAATAACATTTATTGCTTATCCCATGAGACTGATTTTTAAGAAGCTTATACAGACCCAGTCACACGTGTAAACTATAGCATTGGTAATGTTGGGACTCAAATCCAATATCTCAGCTCACGTACTTACTAAACCTTGGTTTCAAATTTCAATTGCCCTTAAGTCCATGCGTTGCAGAGGGGCCAGTTTACACTCCATAATGGCAGGATCCAAATCCTATATCCCAACTGGCATATTTGCCAAGACCCCGTTTCAAATTTTAATAGAAATCCCATCGCCGTTGTTATTAGTGGGAGTGAGATTCAGTTTCTATTAAAATTTTATTAATCCCACTAGCTTCAAAAGGGGTTCAGAGAGACGATATTTGCTTCAGTTACATTCTGGTCATTGTGCTTCAAATGTTTTTTTAAGTGCGTATAACAAAACATTTAGAAACATTTTATTGTCGAAACGAAGGCTCATTTTACTGCGTGACTTTTCGATATGAATTTGTGATGAAATGAGTTTACTTTGACTTGCGGATTAAAATCAAATAAAGACATGATCCTCGCAGGTGAGCTGCAATTTTACTAATCACAGAAAAGTTGACTAAAACAAAAAGTTCAGGCTCGGACGAGATTCGAACCCAGGCCATTACATTTCAAGACTAATAGTGGAACAAAATTTTCCTAATTATCTTTTTTGATTTTCTTGGACCTTAGCACTAAAAAAACAAATAGTAGATGTGGACTTTTTTGCCGTACATTTCCAATACGCATCAGTAGATTCCCATGGGAAACGTAGTTTTCCGTAGATAGGCAAAATTATATTCTTAAAGCCATAAAGCGAAACAGCTAATACCAAGTGCGAATCAATTACAGCGACTTACGGCGTTTTATTTAAGCAAATGAAGCAAGCGTGGTACATAGCTAAATATGCCTCGTTTTTTTAAAGCCATGGAGCGGAACAGCCCATATCAAACGCGAATGACTTGAAAGATACCTCGTTCTTCAGACGCGGAATACTTCAAATATCGTTTTTTAAGCCTTAAAAAAAAAGAACGCGCTTAACACAAAAATATGAAGTATAGTATACGGGATATATGCCTCGTTCTTAAAGTACTGAACTATTAAACAGCCCATTTCAAGCACGAATGACTTAAAAGATGCTTCGTTCTTCAAGCGCGGAATACTTAAATTCTCGTTCTTTAAGCCTTAAAAAAAAAAAAAAAAAAACACTTAACACAGAAATATGAAGTACAGTATACGGGAAATATGCCTCCTTCTGAAAGCCCTGACGGAAAACAGCCCATAAACAGAAATATGAAATTGCACAATGCCAGTCACCAGAGATCACTCTCTCAAAGTATGTCTGCATTTTCCTGCATTCCTTTTATTTTACTGACAATCGATACGTCGAGTAGTTGGAGAATTGAAAAGTTGCGGTCGAGTTATTCTTCCGAGTCAGCTTAATGAAAGGTATTGCATAAAAAAAAAATAAATAAATAAATAAAATAAAATAGAATAAAAACGTTCACTTTCTTCATTTGGTCAATTTCACAAAATTCCGTCCATTTTGCATATGCTACTAGTCTGTTTCAAGAGGGAAAATTTGTCAAAATCGTGGGTATCGGTCTTTTTAACCTCTCGAGTTCGCGCCCCTTTTCGTCCAAATAGAGTTTGCTTGTGAAGTGTCTTCAGCGGTCCTGCAGCCGAGGTTTAGTCAAGTAACCATTAAATCAGTACCTTTTTTCGGTTTATCGAATTCACGATCGCGTCAAATTTATCACTACCCTACATCACTCAAGGGTATCGTTTCATACTGCCCAGAAGTCCAGCGCGTTCGGGATTGCCTTCGTCTGTATTTTTCTGAACAGACTTTTTATTTCAGTGCATATCGGGTTTGCACACTGAAGTAAATTAATAAGTTAAAGGGAAGGATAGACCTCAACAATTGAGAATACTCATAAAAAGTATTGGAAAAATTGTTTTAAGGTAAGCCCTGAAAATGTTTCTCACTAGGGCCCGCAGATTTCCGAGGGTAAAGATCAGAATTCAGATTCCGATGATTTTGAAAACGATCGATACACCAAAAAGTGTAGCCAGCACCTTGAGTAAGATTTTATTTCAAAAGTTGTAGAATTAACTAAAAAGTTGCGTGAACATTGTAAAAACGCTAAGGAAAGAAAAGCCCATGTTAACAAATTGCCCTATGGATCTGTGATCTGCGTCCTCAGTTTTCGTTTACCCGCCAACATCTCTTGGTTATTTTAGAAAACTTGTGAAGCTGAATGGTGGGACTATATGTATCCTTTAGAACTTTTGATAACGAAAAGCCGATTAGTGTAGCCAACTTTAGTGAGAACTTTCCATCTTATCCTATCTTGTCTCTAAACTTGCCCTTTTTTCGGTTTGTGTGACAATTATGCATTCATTTTAGTCGTAAGTAAAGTGATGTGCGTTTTCTCTGGGGAGACCGATTTTTGAGCTTTTAGCGCAAAAACCATTGAATTAGGGTGTAAAATAATTTTACCCGATAAAAAACAGCTTGGTTAATACACAGAGTTAGTAGTCCCCCCCTTCTAACTCTGGTCTTTACTTTTTTTATATTCGGGTAGAAATTGACACTATTTGTGTGTTTTTTTTCCGTGACTAAAGAATTAGTTTAAAATGCACGCAGTTAAAAGGCTGCACGCGCGCAACACGCAAACTGCATGTCATTACACGCACCTGCAAGAGTGAGTTTGAAAAACGTATAAATTACATAAATCATTTTACTAACTCAGTATTCACATTAAACATGTGTACTGAGATTCACAATTATTCGTAAGATTTTTGACGAGAAAGAGCATATATAGTGAAAACGAATTTTGGGCGACTTGCCACAATATTTCAAATTTGTCCGATGGATGCTGACATCCTCTCTTAAGAACCCACTCCAGCCTGATCGTAGCAGGTCGGGATGGAAACGATATGTTTTGATGCGAAAAAATCAAACATGTGTGGTGCAAGTATCGGTTCCGGTGGCAAAGGGATGTCTCGGGCGTGCGAGATCTCGGCTGTTGGCAGCTGTTCTGAGGCGTCAGGATGGGGGTTTGAGATAGTTCTGGTACTATGTGATGTTCCACGTCAATGGAATCCATCTGCAAGGATCTTAACCAGGGCCAGCTTTGCACATTCTGAGCTAGAAAGGAGAAGTGGCTTACCTTTTACCCATAGGTTTGAGCTCAGAGTTTTCATAGGTGAATAAGGTTGCCTTGTTGTGGGTGAGATAGTTTATTTTGTCCGCCCTATAGGGATCAACGATTGAGCAATTTCATCTGGCAGTGTGTTGCATGTGGAGGCAGTATGTAACTGCACCATGATTGCTTTGTTTATGTCCTTGGTCACCCCCAGTTCCAAGGGGCTAGACAATTTACGCCCTAAGGCCGCGCCTCTTGGATTTTGTGAAGTGTTGTAGACAGTTTGGGCATGTATTTCTGGTTTGATATCAACTGTAAAGAGATCAATTTCGTGCTCTTCCCCTGAACTGGCATCAAGATGGTGTGCCTGGGGTTTGGTGCCTTAGAGGGTATGGCTCAAGAGGGTGCTCCTATTTGATATGTGCCGGAAAAGTGTCCGATTCTCGCACAGCGCTCCTTATGAGACCATGCCCTTCGTTGTTTTATCTCTGCCGCTCATATTTTGCAGTTTTGACATCAGTCTCTCGTTGTTGATCTCTGATATTAATTGGTCCGCACGCTTATAGCAGTACTGTAGGCTCCTCCTTTGTGTAGCTAATCCGATCCAGGCTGTGACGTATTCTCTATGTTAGAACTCTTTCACCAAGCCTTAAAAATAATAAAGGCGCGGACGGGATTCGAACCCGTGCCTCCCAGATATTAATTAACCGCGACCATATTATCTCCCA